CTCGTTCATGAACTAAAGAAACTGACAACAACCCAAAGTAAACAAGGCGACCAAGCCACCCAAACTTATGGAACATGCTTGGTCCCTGAAAAGGCTCCAAACAAACATAGCACTGGGCCTTCCCAAACTTATGGAACTGGCCCAGCCTTTGGTCTGTCTCTTATACACATCTATTTTTTTTTTACAACAAGGGGTGGTTATTCATTGTATGAGTATGAAACGGAAAGAGTCTTCGATAGCAAAGCAAAGCAAAGCAAAGCAAAGCAAACGTAGACGAGTCTTCATGTGCAGACCAAATGGTCATACACATGTAAAACGAATGCAATCAAGTACTGCAATCAAGTACTGCAATCCAGTACAATTAACAAATGGAAAGGCGTCCCCGACGCGTTTCAGCGGAAGCCACACCGTCATCTTCAGGGGGTTGACCACTTTCAATCCCGTACTAACCATTCGGTCCACTCGCCCACTTCCGTCCGTTCCTCCTACCAACGTCCGGACGTTAGCAGGAAAAAGCGGGACGTCAGTCCCAAGAGAGGCAGAGTTAATTGCATTAGCGCCTTAAGTACTACTCCGTAGGGCAACCAAAACCTGCAATCAACAAAATTTTAAACAAAGCCAAAAAAGACAAATAGGCAGGTACCGCCGAAGGGTCACGGTTGCCGGGCCCATGCCTATACTACCGGGTCCCCGGCACCCTACACCTGAGAAAACTAATGAACAACCTGGCACCGGTTCAGACCAATTAGCAGGAGGCCAAAAAACAGCACAAATTCGTACTCCCTATCCGAATACCAGAACAAGGATCGAACGTCTGTAAGTCAGCGAAAACCGTTCGAACGGGTTCAGGCAAAATACCTAGTACATACTGATACAGACTAGTGCAGGCCGAAACCCATGGTGGCATAGACGAAGGCACAGTCGAAAGGCCGGGGGTATCATGAGTCTAAACAAAAAAAGCTGCTGCACTCCCTATCCCAATACGGGTTTAAGGAGTACAAAGACCCGTCCATCTTCCACATCTACAGTATTATACAGTAAAAGGTCACATACCACACAAAATACTAAAACATCAGATAGCAAAAAACAAATAAGCAAGTACAGGTCTTGAGAAAACAAAACAGAACCATCCAACCTAATAGGTCAGATACATCAAGATCTCGGTGTCTGCACTCCCTATCCTACGTTAGAGGCAAGCAACCCAGTGTCCCATCAAGATGCTAACTACTTAACAATTCTACAGTAAGACGCCACATATCATCCTTCCGGAAAGCAAAACGCTTCAACACCTTCAAAAAGAAATCATTTGGGAAATCTTTCTTCAGCAACTCCCTTTTCAAAGTACGAACACGCTGAGGAATATCAGAGCGGATGGTAGTGTTGTGTTCAACCCTGTGCAGATGACTGCACACGACCGCCCTCTTTTGTTTTGTACATCCCCAGGACAAAAACGACTGCCCGTACTGAATTTGCAGTTGACCGTCCGTCCAAACGCTATCTTCATTCTTCGACAATTGAGAGCAACATAGCTCAGGATACTGCTGTTGAGATCGGATTTGACATCTGAGAAAGTCAAATACTCCTGATCCATCGTCCGTTCGCTTGAGCGTAAGAGCGGATGGATAACATTTCAGAAAGGCAGACAGCAGCAAATCGTGTTTACTTGCCGACTTAGTTGTTGTGGTCACCATAACGTCATGAATCAGCCTGATGCCGAAAATCAGGCGTGCGTCATTCCCGATTCCTTGAAGCAGAGAGTACTCAGCAAATGCACACAGAATGCATGCGATAAGCGGGCTGGTGGTTTTTCCCATAGGGATACCAACCACCTGTCGCAGCAACACATTTGTGGCAAACGTATACGTATGCTCCAGTTCCAGATGCAGAAAACGCAGCATCAGATCAAAGTCAAGGAATCTCAATGATCGGCGCCGGTTGTCTTTCCAAAAGTTGCGCCCTTACCCCTTGTGTTGACCCTCACGAACGTTCGCCCCTTCCCTTGATGATACTCAAATAGCCAGTCCAAAGCCTTGCGGATGTCGGCGTGCGGCAGCCGACTAAACATCTCCTTGATGTCGAAGGAGAGGGTTGATACAGTCAGTACGTCCCGTCTCTTCAGGATCTTGCCGTTCACTTCCGCCAATCTGCCCGCGAGGTCGGAAACACACACCAGGTTAAAATGCCAGTGCCTAGGTAGCGTCTTCAACATGTGGTTAAGGCCCCGTGAGACGGCTCGCCCTGTGCTTATCATGGGTTCATTAAATATTGGACAGATTGGTCGATATGTGCCCAAGTCCTTTTGCTTAGGCAAAACATAGGCAGAACCGAACTCTCCCTTCTTCTCCCACCGAACGAACTTACTGAGGCCTCTCATAGCTACGTCCTCCTTGATCTCCCTAAGCACCTGTCCCGCCTGTATCTCCATCACCCGATAACCAGGGTTGAGCACGAAGGTGGACATCATCGCCTTGAAGTACAAAAATGGGCACAAAGCCAAAGTCTCGCCTGGATTGCGATCTAGGGGAGTGAGCACTAGAACCTCTAGTCTCACTTTCAGTTCGTCAACATGATGGGACAACAAGTGATTGTCCACCGGTACAAACCTGTTGCTCATAGACCTGGCAAGTTCTTCCCTCGACACCACAGGCACGTCTCCTTTCCAATTCCTACACTGTCGAAATCCCTCCGCGATCTCCTTTTGTAACAGACCCAATCTGTCGTCACACGTGGCATGTTCCGAGTGTTGCGCAAGAGCGGGTGTACATCTTCCATCGAACTAACACGGAAACGGACATGACCTTCCGACTTCGGGAAAGACAAACGTGCACACTTGCAGGTGAGCTCGTTCTGGGCGGCAAAAGCCCTATGATTGTGCATAGTATCCGCAATCGACGGGTTCTTCACCCAAACGATTTGGACCTTTTTCCGCATCCTCTGCAAAAAACATCTAGGTAAGTCCCCTCTCATTAACGCATCATTCAGAACCTTACGAACCTCGACCACCTTAATCCTATCATCGAACTTTAGACGAAAAACCGGATCCGAACCCATACACAGATCAAAACGACTGCTAAAAATTTTGGAGATAAGCCGACGCAGATACTTACGCGTTGAATTCCTGCTGAAGTCCTTCACCACATAATACAGTCGCAAGAGCGACTTGATGTTCCATCGATAGAGATCCTCCAACTTACGTGGATCACGCAGAATCTGAATAAGGAGATACTTGAAATATCTACACCTGGGCTTCCACTTCCACCAGTGCACCACCTGGAACTCACCCCCTTGCTGGAGGGCCAACTTCGCCTGCTTCAGATATACAGTATTACCCCCGACTTTCAGCTTAGCATCCCCAAATGCTTTGCATATCCGCTTCCATCCGGATTGCCAGAGGTTACCTCCTTCCACGAAGATCCGTACATCTTTACGCTGCTCAGCATATGCTGAGTCAAACAAACGGTAGAAATCCACACACCATGGCTCACACTTAGATGGTCGAAATCGTAGTACCTTATCCTCTACGCGGACTCGTTCGGTCGTACCTCTCAACTTAGCGCGTTCCCTTCGACCAGACCTTTGCTTCTTCTTCCCGGTCCCAAGCTTAGCGCCAGATGTATTCAAGAAGGGTGACCATCTACCGATATATACCTGCTCCAATTTCAAGAGTTCATCCCCTTGAATGTGATCGATCGGCAGAAGCACGTAATTCTCGACTCCGTAGTTCAATAACCAGCGATGAAAATGTGCTGGTTTCCTTGATCTAACAACGTAGAGGTGTTCACGCCATCTTGTGATAACGTCACGTGAAGTCTTGCCGATGTAAAGCGACTTACAATAGGGTGACAGACCGACGTGAACTACATTCTTAAGGCGTAGGAAGCCTAATCCATGCTTCTCATACAAGCTCAGCCAGTTACTGATGCATCGTTGACTCCACCTAATCTCTCCATCTAATGATAGACGCAGGACAATTAGCTGTAGTATCTCCTCAACAAGACAATCAACGCCAGTGAACTCTCCTCGCAACTCAACGAAATATCTGCATAACTTCCATAGTATCGGAATCCCCCAGACACGTTACTCATCACGTTGTTCTCCAAGGGTCTCACTGGTCTCGTTATCCTCCAATGCAATCACTTCGGTAGCATCGACAGAATCCAGGCCATACTTTTCCTTAGCACGATTGTCTGCAATCGCGAAGATCGCATCGATCTTGCCGTCATACGGCACCCCTTCCTCTTTACAGATGCGCTGCAGTTCAGCGGCATCCGAGTCCTTAAGTTCCTTCATCATGGCGTCCCGAAAGCGCAAATGCTGCAGAGCTCCTTTACTCACATGTGTACAGGCATCGCCCTGAGGTTTTCTTGGCGTAAACTTCCTTCCCTTGCTGACAGCAGGGTCTTGACCGGAGAGATTCTCTTAACAGAACCAGGTGCCTTCACTGTCGTCCTTGCCCTCGTCATCCGTCCGATAAGTCTAGTTGGTTTCAGAGCACCTTTCTTGGGCGTGCGTTTTAGCGGTAGTTCTATCGGGGGACTATCGTCAAATTCAGGTCCCGGCCCCCTCTTCCTCTTCTCCGAGATGTGCAGCTGCTCCGTTCGCGCGCTTAACTCCTGCGTGACACTCGTGTCACTTTCCTCATCCGAGGTCGACTCACTCTTCTCATCATATGTAACCTTCTTCTTGCCATGCTTCATGAGCTCTCGCAGCGGGCCGATGATGCTATCCACCTTATGTGCAAAGTTCTCCTCCATTTCGCTCAATCGTATGGCGAGATGGATGTCATTATCCTTCCTTAGCTCTTCACGGCGTTGCGCCTCCAACTCCAACTCCCTCTTGCACTTTTCCGCCTTCTTCTTAGCTTTCTTCTCCAAACGTTCGCGCTCCTCAGCTTCACGTGCCTCGGCTTCCTTTTTCTCACGCTTCCTCCGTTCCTTCTCCTCCTTCTTCAGTCTAGCTTCGTCAAAAAAGTCCTTCATGGCGGCAACAGATTTACCCAGCTCGGTCACCGTGCTCTTAATCTCCCCACCATCATGAGGTGGTGAATCATATCTTCTTCTGGGATCATATCTCCGCGGCGGACCAGAGTGTCGAGAGTCCGATGACGTGGACGGCCTCTCGGTGTTGTAGCGTCTTCGGTCCCTGTCAAGGCACTGGTTTGCATAATGCCCCGACTCTCCACAAGAGAAGCAAGTCAGGGGGCAGTAACTCCGGCGATCGTCCCGGCGCTCATTCCTCCTCTCATCACCTCGCCGGTCGGTATCGCGCTTTGCTTCACTGGAGCGATATCCATCACGTTGCTCCGTACCCGACATAGTTCGCTAACACCCAGGCGGTCCGTACAGGTCCGCCTTACACTCAGATAACCTCGATCTGGAGCGAACCTCTGTCACACGTTAATAGTGTCGAAGTAGGCCCGACGCGTTTCAACAGCAGCCACACTGTCATCTTCAGGGGGTTGACCACCTTCATCCTGTACTAACCATTCGGTCCACTCGCCCACTTCCGTTCGTTCCTCCTACCAACATCCGGACGCTAGCAGGAAAAAGCGGGACGTCAGTCCCAAAAGAGGCAGAGTTAATTGCATTAGCGCCTTAAGTACTACTCCGTAGGGCAACCAAAACCTGAAATCAGCAAAATTTCAAACAAAGCCAAAAAAGACAAATAGGCACGTACCGCCGAAGGGTCACGGTCACCGGGCCCATGCCTATACTACCGGGTCCCCGGCACCCTACACCTGAAAAAACTAATGAACAACCTGACACCGGTTCAGACCAATTAGCAGGAGGCCAAAAAACAGCACAAATACGTACTCCCTATCCGAATACCAAAACAAGGATCGAATGTCTGTAAGTCAGCGAAAACCGTTCGAACGGGTTCAGGCAAAATAGTAAAATACCTAGTACATACTGATACAGACTAGTGCAGGCCGAAACCCATGGTGGCATAGACGAAGGCACAGTCGACAGGCCGGGGGTATCATGAGTCTAAACAGAAAAAGCTGCTGCACTCCCTATTCATTGTAACAAAGGTTTCATTTCAGATGTAGCAGTGAGAAAGAGGATTGGAAACAAGTGGCCTGAGAGACTAGTCGGAACCCCACCCCCCCCGGACCCGCCCGCCTTGGGACCCTTCTGCTGCGAGACTGGGTGCTGCTAGGAAGCTTTCCGGCCAGCAGGACAAGGACCGCAAGGGCAAGGGCCAACCCTTTTCTACATCTTATCTCTTGTTTGAATTCATGCTTGCCGGCGATAAGCAACAGGACTGACGCACCCCAGAATAGGAGGCGCCTTGTGTTCTTTGGAAAAAAAAGAAGAAGAAGTAACTAATGAAGAAAAGAAAGAAAAAGTATTACATGAGACACGTGAAAAGAGGAGGTCAAAAAAAAAAAAAAAAAAAAAAAAAAAGAGGAGGTCCTTCGTGGTCTTAGAGAGTGCGATTTTCCTGTTAGCAGCCAGGAGGACAGCTCTTTTTTTATTTTTGTTTTGAAATAACTACGGCGCAGTCAGGGTTTGAGTTTGAAAATGCAGAAGAGGCAAAAGAGCAGCCGGTAATGGTGGATGTGTATAACCCAGGTTTCGGGTGGGGTGGGGTCACGTGGCGTTGTGTTGTGTTCGCAGGATTGCCTGAATTGCATTTTCAAACAGTTTTCGTGACTGCGCCGAAGTTACCCGCCGGAACTCCAGAAGCACGAAACGAAAAAGCATTTTTTTTTGGAGCACCAGTACACGGCTACCTGTGTTGTGGGTGTGACACCTCGAACTCTGGAAGCGCGAAGCGAACAAGCGACCGCCGGTCCCATTTATCAACGGCAGGCCCACGGTTTCACATTTCGACCTCACTCGTTTTCTTGTGGCGACAAGTTCTAGACTGCGAAGCTAGGGCCATGTACTAGCAGTTTCACACAACCACACTCATAGCCCCATTTATTCTGGAGGGCAGCTATCCGATTGCTTATCACCGGCAAGCATGATAGTCAAAACAAAGAAGCAAGTTCCTCGGGAAACGAGAGAGCGAACCCTGGGCGCCTCATTTGTTTCCTTTTTTTGTTTTTAACTTCAGATCGGAGCATCCCCGATAAGTGGCCTCCACCTCGTTTGTAAATAGGTATATAGAGGACTGCTTTGTTTCAAAGTTAAACCACTAGTACCTTTCTCAGCTGTAGATGCCGAGCCTAAAATCGCCCTTCACGCCGAAGGGAAAAAAGAACCAGTGCAGGACTCATTTTGGCTGGCGCCGCCAGCCATTGTGGTCCGGTAGCACCGAACCCCGCCGGCCTCCCGCATTACCCGGCGTGCGTCAGCAAAATAGCTGGGAAAGGTACTACTGGTGTTAAGAACTTTTTTTTTTTTTTTTTTTTTTTTTTTTTTGGGTAAGAGGGATTTTTTTTTGGATAAGAGAAACCCGCTTAAGTGGGGGCTCTGCAGGGAAGGCACACAAGTTTTTCTTGTTTTTTTAAAAAAAAGGGCGATGGCCTTGAGCTATTATCATCGGACTAACCAGCCCAGGTAAATTCAATATTGTGTCTAATCTGACATCGGGTGGACTTTTCAGCCCAGGGTGGCCTTGATTGCCTTCAGGGAACCCCCAACATGGGACACCGGCCAGGGGACAGCCGGCGGAAGAGGGACCGAGCATCATCTGAGTGGCCAGTTGCTGTGCCTCCCCGATTACCCCTCCCCCTATGAACATCAGCAGAGACTGCTTTTTAATGCCGATTGGGCGGACCAACGTGCTATCTCTAGGTGGCGGGCGCCAAGCTTGCCCAGGAAGGTACATGAGGTCAATGGGGATTGAACCCAAGACCTCCTGAATGCCACTTGTGTGCCTTACCAACTGAGCTACCTTTTTCTTCCCCCGAATACAACGTACGGTCATTATAGCTGTATTTGTCACATCTTTCAGTCTAGATACAGCTATAATGGCCGTACGTTGTATTCGGGGGAAGAAGGTAGGCCGCTGGATAAGACACAAAAGTTAGTAACTTGCTGAGACTGCTATCCATTTTTGTTTTGCTTTTTTCATTCCTGGACCGTCGCGGTCCCTCTTCTGAATTTGGCGGGTGATGCCTTGTTCAGGGGAGGACCCACACTACAATTGTGAGGGACGCCAGGGCTCGCTTCCTGGCTTGTGTGTGTTAAACCGCCAGTACACGCAGCCCAAGCCTTGCAGAAAACGAGCGTGTCGCCTACTCCACAACTTTTTTGGGGCTGGGCTGCCGTTGATGAATTTCATCGATGGCCTTTGTCGAGTTTCCCTCCAAAAGGCACAGTGAGGTGCCCACAGCCGATGTATGGCCATGTACTCGTGGTTTGAAACAAAAAACAGAAGTAAAGATAAATGAGGAGGTCCGACGCCAGGCTCTTTTTTTGGGGGGGGTAACTTCAGTAGAGTCGCAAGAAAAGAGTTATAATTGCACTATGGCGCAAGATACAGTTTGCAATTGCACTTCTGGCACCCTACCTGGCCAGAAAGCTGGGATGTATGCATTGCCCCAACTACAATTCAGAACTGTATCTTGGCCCATAGACCAATTATAACTCATTTTTGTGAATCCCGCATAGTTTCCCCTTCTTTTTTTTTCTTTTTTTTTTAAAGCTAATTCTTTAAGCCCAACCAATTCAATTACCTGTCAAATCTGACAGGACGCCCTTTCAGGCCCTTTTTTATTAGGGAAAACTAGGGCACCGTCACTGTCTGAGTTTCAAAACGCAGTCTAGGCTGTTTGTGTTGGGTCGGAAGAGAGAGAGAGNAGAGAGAGAGAGAGAGAGAGAGAGAGAGAGAGAGAGAGAGAGAGAGAGAGAGAGAGAGAGAGAGAGAGAGATTGGTTGATTTGCTTTCTTCGGGGGATTGTTTTGGTGGATAGGATTTGTGGTGTGTAGCGGGCGAGTTTTTTGGGCTTGACCGGTGATGTCCCGCCCTTAAACAGGACTGCGAAACTTTTTGTAAGGGATGCCAGGCCCGATTCTTGGTACTGAAATATAAGGGACTCCGGGCCCGGTTCCCGACTGCTTTGTTTGGGGGAAAAAAAAAAAGAGCTGAAAATGTTGAATGAATACAAGCTAGCTTTATCGTCCGTTGGTGGTCTGTTATATCCAGTGATGACTCGAGTGCATTTTCAAACTGTTTTCGTGACTGTGCGAAAGTTGCCCCTTTTTATTATCCTCATAGTATTACAGGAAACCCCATGGCAGCCACATGGTGCTCAAGCCTCCAACAAGGGAACATGCAGAGGCTGCACCCGACCTGCAGATGGGTGATGTTAGGAGTAATGGTAGGTAGGTACTGTGAGGTGAAATTGAGAGAAGAATGTAGGTCACTTTTAAAATAATAATAATAGTAATAATAAATTAATAATAATAATAATAATAATAATAATAATAATAATAATAATAGTAATAATAAATTAATAATAATAATAATAGTAATGAAGGAGGAGATCCTTAGGTCCTTACCGTTGTGCTTCTACAGGCTGGACAAGATGTTTTTGCACCAAAAAGAAAACAAGAGGGAGGTCTTTTTTTTTTTTTTTTTTTTTTTTTTTTTTTTTTAACTGCCTTTTCCTCATTGGGGGACAACCATAATTTTTTCTCTCTCTCACATATTTTTCTTTGACTACCTACCTACCACTAGTCCTAAGGCTATAAAGGGGACCCCTGCAAGCATAGCTTTCTGCCTCTCTTCGGTGAAGGGAGGTTACCTCTCTCGGGGGAGAGAGGTTCCAACATGTTTGACCCTTTGCCCTAGCGTTTTAGGGTGCAGGGTTCGGGCCGCCGGTGGGAGAGAAGGTTAACAACAGTTGTATTTTTCATCACCACTTATGAAGGCCCTTCACCACTTCAGGACCATTCAAGATTTTCAGACTGCGTAAACTCTCACTTCAAAATTTTTATTTTTGAATTTTCAGCTACCCGTTAACCGCTTGTGGGGGCGGACCCTTCACCACTTCAGGACCATTCAAGATTTTCAGACTGCATAAACTCTCACTTCAAAATTTTCATTTTTGAATTTTCAGCTGCCCGTTAACCGTCGTGGGGGCCCGACTAACACAAGGATCAAGCAAAACTATATCTTGGCCCATAGTGTAACTATAACTTTTTTTTGTGACTCCTACGTTTTTTTTTTTTTTTTTTTTTTTTTTTTTTTTTTTTAAGGTTGCCAGCATCAGCCCGCTTAGCTTTTGTATATTATAGAAGTCAGAAAACGAGTCTAGCGTCGCTCACAAAAAGGTAGGCGACCTCAATCCTGGTGAGGCACACCAGCCAGACCAAAGGACCGTTCCAGAGTTGATCGGGCCTCAGACCCCTACTCAACAGCAACCAATAGGACATGACCAAGGCACGAGGGAAGGC